CCCCCTGCCCAAGCAGGGTCACCCAGAGCAGGCTGCACAGCACCGCGGCCAGGCGGGGCTGGAATATCTCCAGAGAAGGAGACTCCACAGCCTCCCTGGGCAGCCTGGGCCAGGGCTCCGTCACCCTCAGAGGGAAGAAGTTCTTCCTCGGGTTCAGCTGGAGCTTCCTCTGCTCCAGTTTGTGCCCGTTGCCCCTTGTCCTGTCACTGGGCACCACTGCAAAGAGTCTGGCCCCGTCCTCCTGACCCCCCCTCTGCAGATATTTAGGGGCCTTTCGAAGGTCCCCTCTCAGCCTTCTCCTCTCCAGGCTGAACAAGCCCAGCTCCCTCAGCCTCTCCTCGCAGCAGAGATGCTCCCATCCCTGTGCCAGGCTGCCCGGCTGGGGACACGGTGTGTCTGCAGGAACGGGGTGACGCTGGTTTTGGTGCAGCACTCGCCTGTCAGGCTGCATCCCCCCTGCGCTCCGCAGCCGCTGGCCTCCTCTCCAGCACGGCAGAGGAGCTGGGTCTGGGAGAAGGTGCCCGTAGCCACCCCTCTTGCCCCAAGACAGCGCAGACCGAAGGCTGAGGCTGCTCCGAAGCCAGGGCAGCTGTGAGGAGAGGAGGAACGTGGCCGTTGGTGACGTGCTGCACCTTCTGCCTGCCAGCCTTAATGCCATCCCTCATGCTGCCCTGCGCTTGCTTTGTCAGGGAACAGGTTACTGTCATTTCATCTGTCGGGGGAGATACCTGCCTAATTTTGGGTTCGTGGTGGTATTAATTAGCTGGGTTATGCAAATTCTGGGCTGGTGCTTCTGAAAGCTGCAGATGCTGAACCCTGACCTTTGCCTTTCAGGCCGAGGTGGTGAAAAAAGAAGCGCAGACGGAGGAGCCAAGCAAAGGAAGGTATGGCTTGGGCGTGGAGAAGGCTTTATGTGACGTGTCTGAAGTGTTCACGGAGCGCATCCCCGCCACGGAGCGGGGTGCTGAGCCGCCTCGGGGTGAAAAGGCCCCCAGTGGGATCCCTCCGCGGGTCCCCGCTGCCGCTCCTTGCAGGCCTGCGTGCGCGGGCCGTGTCGCCTGCCGCTGTCCTGCTCGTGGTGGCTTTGAAGTCAGAACGGGCACGAATGGGGTGAAATCCTGTTTTCTGTGTCGTTTTGTTATTATTGTTTTACTCATTTGACCAGGATTTCACTGCAGGTCCTGGGAAGTGTGTTTGGATGTACATGTTGGTAAGCCAGTTTTTCCTTGTGTTTAACCATGAAGCGATTGCCTGCTTTCGTCCTACAGCGCTTTCCTCTGTCAGAGCACCTGGCTCTGTTCCCAAATGCTAAAAATAAACCAAAACTTCCTTGTTTAACTTCATAACATGAACTTCATGCTGTGGTCCAGGGCCCTGAATTGATGGAAACAAACGTTTAGGTGCTGTGTTCACACCACAACCTAGAAATGGGGAATGGTGGCCTTGGGGTGTTCCATTTAAAATTGTTTCATTGACGTTGCTTGTGGTAAAATTTCTCATTGTGGAGTGACTATTTGTTGGGTTTAGAGTCCTGATGATGTTTTTTTTAGTAAATGGATAGATTATTATAAGAGTTCTTGTTAACAAATATGACTCAAAACACCTTCTGTGATTCAAATCCGTATTTCTGGATAAATTTTACCATCAAAACATAACTGTGTGAGGACGGTCCCAAACTTGCATTTCGAGTGCTGCCGTTACGCTGTCACGGATGTTACTGCGTTGCCCAAACCTGGCTCTTTCCAGAGGGAAGCCA